TTACCTGTACTTTTCCTGTCTCAGTTATTGGATATGCAAATTCTCCAAGAATTTTCAGTGGGGAATGGTATTTAGAAATCAAGATTTAGGTCCTAGGTGAGGCCTTCGCTACAGGAATTTTTTTGCTTCCAGGATATTTTAGAGGATGTAGCTAACTACATATTCAAATACACGTACAGAAGTCTGTGTGCATGCAAACAGGCACACAACACAAACCTCCAAAAACCAATGAGACGCTTCTTTCCCTCCTATTCTTTGTATCTCCTTTACCCCACAGTGAAAACCCTGGTCCTCACTCCAGCAACATCAATGATTGACTTGCCAAGTGCTGCAATACACACTAGATACTTTTGGAATTGTAGTAATAATATCACCACTAACAACAAAATTGCTAAGTATAGCTTGAGATTGCTTTTTGAATTTTTTTTTTGTCCTTAGTGCCTACAATGACAGCACTGTGTTAAAAATTTATTGGGATGATTTTTTTTTCCTGTATGGTTATTATCAATATTCTATACAATTAGGTATACAATTTTGTATTCAATGATAGGGAGAAACCTATCATTTTTTATTTAATCTTAGTTTTTCAATTTGCAAGTCATTAAAATGGTTCAAAACTCAGTAGTATAAAAAGATATATTCAGAGAAGTTTCATTCCTTTCCTATCCCTTTAACCCTGTTCTTGTTCCCATAGGTGACCTATTTATTAGTTTCTGGTAAGTCCTTCTTGTATTTATTTTTGCAAAGATAATCAAATACATGTGCATTCTTTTTCTTTCTTACAAAAAGTAACATTCTATATATGTTTTTTTCACACTTGTTTTATTTAACATATTCAAAAAGAATCATTTACTCCAGATTAGCTTGTTCTTTTTCAGATGCATAGAACTTTACCGTGTGGATGTACCATAGTTTGTTGAGCAATATTTCTTGTGTAAACATTTAGTCTTTTTCTCCAGTATTTCAATAAGTAACTTTGTGCATATGTATTTTATTATTATTAGTGGTGTATCTTCAGTGTAAATTTCTAGAATGGGTTTGCTGAGCCAAAGGATAATTGCATGTTAGGTTTTGCTCTATACTGCCAAATTCCCTTCCACAGGGGCTGTGCCATTTTGCATTTCTACCAGTAATGTATAAGAGAATTTATTTAAAAGCTTTCAATAATGCTAGTCAATAAAATTCCTATACCAAAATGACAGGGCAATGGGACAGATGGTTTTGGGAAAGTTCAAAATTTCAAATCTATACAAAAAGGTCTTAAAATTCTCCATGACATAATAAGCAATATTTTGTAATGAAAGGAGACCAGAGAAAAGTTATTTGGTCTGTGCAACTAAGTTTTATGGATGACCTAAGAATCAGCCAGTTGCTAATCTGTAAATTGCAACTTAATTTGTCTGAAGGTATTATTCTTATTTTGGGTTAGATAAGATTACTAGAACCCAAGGAAGGTATACAAATAGTATCTGGAAGGAACAACCTAAACCTAGGAACAAAAGAAAAACTGAAACCCTGGGAAAGTGTTCAAATAAGGATAAGAAAAAAAAAATTAAATCCATGTAGGTAACATTTTCGTGGTTTTGGTATAATTAATATTCTGAGTACATTTTACATGTGTGTGTGTGTTTTTTTAAAGATTTTATTTATTTGAGAGAGAGAATGAGAGAACATGAGCAGGAGGAGGGGCATGAAGGAGAAGCCTCCCTGCTGAGTGGGGAGCCCAATGTGGGGTTCTATCCCACCACTCCAGGATTATGACCTGAGCTGAAGGCAGAGGCTTAACCAACTGAGCCACCCAGGTGCCCCCTTTTTACCTGTTTCATTTCTTTTCTTTCTTTCCTTCCTTCCTTTTTTTTTTTTTTTTTAAAGATTCTATTCATTTATTTGACAGAGAGAGACACAGCTAGAGAGGGAACACAAGCAGCGGGAGTGGGAGAGGGAGAATCAGGCTTCCTGCTGAGCAGGTAGCCCCATGTGGGGCTCGAACCAAGGACCCTGGTATCATGACCCCAGCCAAAGGCAGATGCCTAATGACTGAGCCACATAGGCGCCACTTTTTACCTGTTTCTTAAGGTATTTATTTATTTTTTAAAGATTTTATTTATTTATTTATTTGACAGAGAGAGACACAGTGGGAGAGGGAACACAAGCGGGTTGGGGGGGGGAGTGTGAGAAGGAGAAGCAGGCTTCCCGCTGAGCAGGGAGCCCGATGCGGGGCTCGATCCCAGGACCCTGGGATCATGACCTGAGCCGAAGGCAGACGCTTAACGACTGAGCCACCCAGGTGCCCCTTCTTAAGGTATTTAGAACATTTAATACAATCTTAAATTTTAGGCTTGTGATTTTAATGAAATGTTTAGATGTGTTTAAATCTGAAATCAGTGCTTAAAAGAGTGGGGTTATCTAATTTTAGAAATTCCTAAGTTCTTATTTATTAGTTTTACAGCTGTGAATAATTAGAGGAATATTGACTGCTTAAAGAATGTGTTTCTTAAACTAATAAACATTAATCAAAATACAAATAGTAACAAATATATTTCTCCAAGCCCACTAGGCCTTTGGACGTAAGAGAATCTATCAACATGACGATCCTTTAACGCTCTGAAGTTTGAAAAAGTCACACAGATTTTGTTGAGCAGCAACCTTTTGCTTTATTAACTTTATATATTCAACAAATATTTTCAATGTGTTATAAAATGCTATTCCAGGTACTGTTTTTATCCACTGAATCAGTAGATGGTCCATGTTCTAGTGACATTTCTAGTGAGAAATCCTGAATTAATAATTTATTATTATGTATAAACTTAAATATCTCTTTTCATAAAATAAGGCCAATGACACCTGTTTGGATGGGCCAAATGAACTAATATATGTGAAGGGGTAATGCCTTGCCCTCCTACACGGAAGTAAGTCATAAGTAATGGGTTTTTGAATGAGTACTATTCCTCTGGTTTCTCTACTCCAAGAACAAGTATTTTGATGTAATCAATATACTTAGGGTTCACTCCTTAACTTGCAACATTTTGAAGAGAACAAAGGACATGAAAAGAAATTGATCCCAGAATGATATAGTTTACTGAACAACTAAGATAAACATTATAATTTATGACCCTAAAGAATATTTAATAAGTTTCTAATTTTATAAGTCCTATTTATTATGAAGAACTGGTGAAAATCTTTGGCCAACTCTGGTCTGGTTCAGTCCAGACTCTTCTTTTCTAGGATTATCCAACTTCTGCTGAAACTCTCCCGAAAATCCCATTGTTTTCATTTTTCACCTGTGTCAATACACTGCCTTGTATTGGAGCCCTTAACACTCTTTGTGATATGTCTTTCCCCCCCCCGGGTTGCAAAATTAAACTTTGATCAAAGCCTTTACAAATTGTAATTAACCATTACTTCTTTTAATACATGCCTCTAATTGTCTGAGATTTCACCTTAGCTCACTATCTTTCTGAAATCTGAGTGCCCTCCTTATGGCAAATGAATATTAAATGTAGCTTATTTTGGTGAAGAGATATTTTCAGAACGGATCTGCCCTGAAAATGGATCCCTACTACACAGACACAAAATACTATTAAAAATCCTTCTTGACTATAGTAACTCAGGATTTTATGAACTATTTCACATCCACTGATGCATGGGGCATAAATGTACTTTGAAAAGTTTAATGTCTGTGAAGAAATGAGTTCATTTCATTACTTTCTTCGTTTTTAGTGTTTTAGTTTCTTAAATGCCTTCAAATCATTTCAGCTTTGACCCAAGAACTTTATAAAATCTAGTTTTCCGGAGGGAAAAAGTAAGAAAAGTCTTTGAGCTGGGAGCTATGTTAGAAGAAAAAAGGCGAGGAAGCCAGGGGAAATGCAATCCTACCTTAGCCTCATGGCTTCTTCAAGCCATGCCTGAGGAGAGAGAAAAACAGAAAACCAAGAAACTGAAGCAGCCCCAAACGTGCAGCTGTTTGTGGCTTTTGACAGTTTGCATTTATAATGCTTTGTAACATCAAAATGTGATTATCTGTTAAACAGGGCAGTAGTCACAAAAATAAAATTTAACCACCTTAATTTCTTTTTGGAAACAGGTGTTACATAAATATATTTCAATAAATAAAATGAATTATTAAGCCAATTAGTAATACTTCCTTAGTTGTTTATATAAGCCAGTTAGACTCTTCACTGGTTCTTATCCTCATCATGGAACCACAGCTCAATACAGTCTCCTACTTCTTGTCTCTCACAGTTGTTCAGGGATGTGTAGGGACTCTCAGCCCCTGGTCATTATAGAAAAACAAAGCAACGCAAAACAACAACAAGAAACTCCTCTCTCTTCAAACCCACAAATATAGCAGGAATACCCAATTTAGTGAAAACAATCTGTTTGCTACAAGGAAATTTAAAACTAGAACAACAGAATAGAAAAGTAGACTTCTCTGAATCACTTTTTAAAGTTAATCACTATGACCCTTAGTCTCTTCCAAGACTCTTCTTAAAGTGATCCTAGGACTTGTTTGATGAAAATGCAAAAGTTGCTAAAAAACAAACAAACAAATAAACACTGTCATATAGCTGTCACATTGTTTCTCAAATAAAGGTACAGAAGATTTAGGTGGTACATCAAACGGATATTTTTAATTTGGAAGTTATATATATTTTAATAAATATCTATTTTAGGACAAATATAATTGACATATAAAACTCATAATTTCCACAAATACTATTTCCTAGGACAAGGTTAAAAATTCTGAGTCCCTTTAAAGAAAAATATTAAATAAACACTGAATATGATAAAAACTGTAAAGGAAACACACAAATGATGAAGTTTGAGAAATATTGCTTTTATGTTTATTTCAAGTTTATGTGACTAGTTACACTACATCATTGCCTTAATCAATGCTTACATAATTTAAAAAGTTTATATCATAAAAGTTACAGATTATTGCCTACAAGATGTCTGATCATTGAAAAAAGTTTTATATCAGATTTGGAACATGACTCAATATAATCTTATTTATAAAATAAATTATTTTCACTATTTATAACCTCCTGGGAATATGCTACAATTTAAGACCTAGATTTATTTAGTTTCTATGCATTAAAAGTTTATTTATAAGCTTTCTCTCCTCTATGAATAATTTGATATTGAATGGGATGAAGAGATCTGACCAAAAATTTTCCCAGATTTATATATTCATATGATTCCCACCCCCATGAGTTACATGCTGCTGGGTAAGTGAAGGATTGGGACTTAAGGTTTTCTCACATTTATTATATTCACATAATTTCTCCCGAGTATGGATTTTCCTATGTTGGTTAAGGTGTGCACTCTGGCTAAAGGCTTTCTCACATTCATTACATTTATAGGGTTTCTCTCCTGTATGAGTTCTCTCATGCTGATTAAGATGTGTCCTCTGGCTGAAGGCTTTCCCACAAAAACTACATTCATAAGGTTTCTCTCCAGTATGAAGTCTATGATGTTCAGTAAGGGATGTGATACGGCTAAAGGCCTTACCACACTGATTACATTTATAGGGCTTCTCTCCAGTATGAATTCTCAGATGTTGAGTAAAGGATGAATGTTGACGGAAGGCTTTCCCACATTCATTGCATATAAAAGGTTTTTCTCCTGTGTGAATTCTCTGATGTTGAATTAGATGTATCCTCTGGCTGAATCTTTTCCCGCATTCATCACACTTATAGGGCTTCTCTCCTGTAAGGACTATCTGAGGTTGAGTAAGAGATGAATTGTGGCTGAAAACTTTTTCACATTCACTGGGTTTCTCTTCAGTATGAATATGATTAGTAAGAAGAATATGTTGATTGAAGATTTTTCCACACTCATTATATTCATAAGGATTACTTCTTACATAGTTTCCCTGATAGTAAATCAAGTTTGAATTATGTTTGATGCTATTTCCTTGTGTGTCAGAATTAAGGGGTATTTTAATTGAAGGAATTCTCTGATGCATAATAAGGTTTGAGTTCATGTTATAGTTTTCTCCAAATCTATTACAGTCATGGCTTCTCTCCTGTGTGATCTTTTTGTGGGTGAAAGATATTTGTGCTAAATGTCTCTGCTGGTTTTCTTGGTTAAACTCTAACTGGTAATCAAAATCCCAGAGTCCTCCCAAGATGGAGTACCAGAAACTATCTCCTGTTAGTCTCTCCATTATCATGTCATGATTTTGATTTTCATCAGAAATATTCTGGTTTGGAGTTGATTTTTTGATTTCAGGTCTACTCTCCCCATCTAAAAGAAATTCAGAACATACAAATATTTTGCCATCTTCTCTGTTTTGAAAAAGGAAATTGTTGTGCAATGAATTACAAAGTGAAACTGATAGTAATGTGGACAAGGCATATTTGGCATAAGTTTTAAAATATGGCCATGTAACAAGGGAGACTATAAAAGGATGACAGAAAGCAGTGAGCAGTGGGAAATTTTAAAATCTGTATGGTAATCATAAGAGATCATCCAGGAGTACCCACGGCTGAAAGGAAATGGAAAGGAGAATAAGAAATATCAGAGAAAGGTCTGTGCATAGAGGTGGGAGATATTAGAGGAAAGACTATATTTGAAGAAGACAGGTCCAAGTACACCACCTTATAAATCTCATCTGTGGATTATTCTATTCTAGTGCCAGCTACTTGTTTATTTAAAAAGTATTTCTCCTTATTTTTAATCTTTTGTTTAAAATGATAAAATGAATACTTGCTTATAATAACACATTCAAATAATATGGAAATGCATAAAGGAAGAATTTCACCCTTCAGAGGTCGTTATTGTTAATAGTTTGGAGCTTGTCTTGTCAATTTTTTTCCGTGTTCATATAAATATAAATGTAAATCATATTTTGAACAAGCATGAATTGTGATAAAAACAAAATTTCATTTCAGTCTCCTACCACTTCTTTAAACTTAATTTAATGGGGGGCATTCTTATTCTGCTTCTGGGAGATTTGGGCAGGTTCCATGGTTCCCCCTAATTCTTAGATAACAGATACTCCTACTGTTACATTAAGTTACAAACAGTCTCTATTCAGTAATTAAAATGTTTAGTCACTTGTTTAATAATCAGAACTCCAAAATCAATCCCTTTTCCTTCCCCTGGGCATCATATTCTTCCTTTCTCCCCACCACCTGCCTCTTTCCCCACCCTACTCTCTTCCTGCTAGTTTTTTCCCCTGGCTACTCTCTCACTTCTTTTCTCACTTTAACTATTTCCCTGGCCACCTCTTTCTTCACTCACTAAATGTTGTTTAGTTCCCTTTTTGGGGGGGCAGGGAGAGAAGCAGAGGGAGAGAGAGAATCTTAAGCAGACTCCACACCCAGCACAGAGCTGATGTTGGGCTCAATCTCATGACCCTGATATCATGACCTGAGCCAAAATCAATAGTCAGACACTTAACCAACCGAATCACCCAGGTACCCCTGTTTAGTTCCCTTCTAACAAGAGTTTGATGGTAGAAGCTGTGTGGAGGGAGGGATTAAGAGGCCAAGTTTTGTATGACTGGGTAGCTTCCCATTCTCACCTTGGCAGAAGATTAAATAGGACCCACTTTGAGAACTCTTATGTCTCTTGGGAGGTTTTAGCTGGACCTCTCTTTCTCCTCAATTCCATGATCTGGATAGACAAATCTCTATTTTGGATAGTCCTTTGGGACCATCCCTACAGCAATGAATCCTATTGGACAAGACTGAAGATGTTGGATGACTCATAAACACTCACGACACCTTGTCTTGACAAACTTGGGTAGTGCAGACAGATCCTAACTCACCAGTTTCTCTTGGCTCACCTATAAAAGCCATTTCAGGGGCGCCTGGGTGGCTCAGTCATTAAGCGTCTGCCTTTGGCTCAGGTCATGATCCCAGGGTCCTGGGATTGAGCTCCGCATCAGGATCCCTGCTCAGCGGGAAGCCTGCTTCTCCCTCCCCCACTCCCTCTGCTTGTATTCCCTCTCTCTGTCAAATAAATGAATAAAATCTTAAAAAAAAAATAAAAGCCATTTCATCAGTCAGCTGTTCTTGGGCCTTGGACTGCTTTAGCTTTCTCAAATGTAAGTTATGCACTAGTCTTGGTCTTTCAACCATAAGGAATGCATATAAAAGCTGAAAGAGTGTTTCCCTTGAAGCTGGCACATATGATTATCATCCTAATTAGGACACTTGACAGTAAAAGGGAGCACCATTAATAATTATGCCAAGAATCGTCCTGGAAAAATAAAATGGAATTACACTATCATACTGTTTTGTTTTGTTTTTTGTTTTTTAAGAGAGAGAGTAGGGGAGGAGCAGAGAGAATCTTAAAACACTCAGTGTGGAGCCTCATGTGGGGCTTGGTCTCACAACCCTGAAATCATGACCTGAGCCAGAATCAAGAGTCTGGAACTTAACTGACTGAGCCACCCAGGTGCCCCTGTATATTTCTTTTTTTCATTACTGCATAACTTGAACACATTTCCATGTCAACAAATACATTTCCATAATTTTTAAAGGTTGTAAAATATCCAATTTTATGGATATATCAAAGTATTTTTAATCAATTCACATTGAGGTTGCATTGGACTTAGTGTTATCGCAAACCGCATAGCAAGAATAGTTGGCCGAACATGAAATAGAAATTGTAGAAAGAAAAAAAAGAAAATTGTGAAAAACAGATCAATATGCTTAAAGATACACAAAAAGATACTCAAACAGAACTTACTCTGGTCTAAAATTGTATGTGGAAAAAATAGTGATTTAAAAGACTTGTTTTAAACCAATTGACCATTTCAACCAAATTATCAACTGGATCACTTTATTTTCAGCCAAAATGCTTTTGTCTGCCTAGGGACTTTGGCCCTAAAATGTTTAGCATAATTGGCTGGAGTTTGAAGACACAACTCCTTCTGCCTAGGAGTAGAATTCAGGGCCTTCATTCCCTATGACCTAGCTTCTAAAACTTTTGTTTATTCCTGGAAACATGGCAGCTTGATCAACATACTCATGGCCACTTTGTTGACTGCCTTCTTTCCATGTCTTGCCTCTGAGTGAAAAGGGAAAAGTGTTGCTGGTTGGCAGACTTGTTATCTACTGATACCAGGAGGAGTGACAATGCATGGACTATACAGGCACTGTTCCCCCACTCTGGATACCCTCAAGGCAAATCAGATCTTCAGTCACAGGGCTACCTATTTACATCCCAGTGGGATGCCAGGGTATAGAGTCTAGATGCCAAGCTGAGACAGTGATTATCTTGGGCTATTTGTGAAGAACATTTGTGAAGAACAAATTCTGATCCATTTGCTTTAGCTCCTTACCTAACCTAAGCCTCCATGTTAGCAGACATGACTGCAACTTACCTTAAAAGGAGGGTGGGCATTGATGAGGATGAACACTTTTATCAAGCTATGTATATGAGATCATGTAGAGGTGCTATTCACTCATCCACTGTCTACTTTCTTCATGGTTTGGCCTTACCTGGCTAGAAACCCAACCATTCACTGAAGCTCCCAAGTCCTATTTTATACTTCTGCTCAATCAATTCCCTATCACATCTTATATTGCCTACCCCTCTGTTGTCTGAGATTATAGAAAAAGTGCTGCTTGGGAAGAAAGTGTTTTCAGACATGGAAGCAGAAGAGCTTCCTGTGCCTACACTGTGAGAATGACATGAATTCTATTTTGTGCCCAAGTTCTAAATGAAGTGCAATATCTTGGTCACAGCTACAGACTAAGACCCTTTAGCTTATTGCAGTTCATCAGGCTTTCATTATTCTTGCAGGAGCCTAAGGGCTCTACATCAAGAAAAATAGGGGATTTGCATAGACTAGTCTCAGTGTGGTTACTATTTTTCCCCACTGACTCCATATTCCCTGGATCAACTCTTGGGGTTATGAGCCTTTAATAAAATTAGATTTCTAGGGTACCTAGACCTCTGACATCCTTTGTATCTAGGGAGGGATATCTTCTAGATAAATTCTTAGTATGAGCATATTGTGATGCCACTGGGCAACCACAACATCTTGAAGGGCCTTCTGCACTACTGCATACCTCACCTAGTAGACAACTTAGCCTCATCCAATGCCTTTTGAAAGAAATTATTTAGAAGTAGGAAGAAAGGAAACAAGAAAGGAAAGAGGAAGGGAGAGAAGGAGGGAGAAAAGGAAATAATTAGGGAGAAAAGGAGGGAGGAAAACATTTAAAAAAGTTTATCCTTTTTTTAAAGATTGTATGTATGTATGTATTTATGAGAGAGAGAGAGCACGAGCAGGGAGGAGAGGGAGAAGCAGGCTCCCCACGAGCAGGGAGCCTGATACAGGCTCAATCCCAGGATGCCAGGATCATGACCTAAGCCGAAGGCAGACCCTTAACCAACTGAGCCACCCAGGTGCCCCGTTTATCCTTTCTATGTGTAAAGCACTATAGTATTTCTAGTTCTCTTTTGTTAATTAAAAAAGAAAAGTGCCATGATTTATAGTGGGTTATAAAATTAATTTAGTGGGTAGAACAATGAATTAAAACTGAAACAAAATAGGCTAAAAAAGATTAGAAACTATCAGAGTTCATCAGACATAGCAGTAAGAATAAATGGTAAGATTTTGTCTCAATTTTATAGATTATACATATCTTATGGGTTGCAATAAAAATGAATTTCTTAATGAGAGTAGTGCTTATAAATAATTAAAAACTTTTGGCAGAGGTCAGTAAGCTTTTTCTGTGAAGGGTCATATAGTATATATTTAAGGTTTTGTGGGTCGTATGGGCTTTATTGTTTACTGAACTCTGCTGTCATAGTGTGAAAGCAGCCACACACAATATGAGTGACAAGAGTGAGTGTGGCTGGGTTCCCATAAAATTGTTTACAAAAACATGTGACTGTAGACAATGTTTTGTTCATCCAAAGAGTCTACAATGCCAAACAGGGTTATCTGGAGAGGGAACCCCCCCTTGATAATCTAAGACATCCTTATGTTGACCAGTGGTTCATCTTATACTAGCAATGTATGAGAGTACTTTCTTCCCTACAGACTTATCAACAGTGTGTGCAGACAAATTTTTGTGGACTTTTGCTAAACTGATGGGTGAGGAAAGGTCACCTGCACTTTCAATTTGTGTTTCTCTGATGAGTGAGGCTGAACATTTTTCCTTATGTTAAACATATTTGTATTCCTTTATCTAAGAACTGTTCAGATATATGTATACTTCTATTGGGCTGTTGGCCTCTGCTTTAGAGGAGCCTTTTATTAATGGGAGCTTAGCCCTTTTGAT